AGGAGAGATCGTAAATAGAGTCGTGCGAAGTTTAAAAAAATAAAATAAAACCAAAACAAAATAAAAACCATGAAAAACAACGTGGCCTACGGCACGCCTTTCTTTTTGGACGTATAAAAAGAAATTAAACCACACCAAGTAGCACGTGCTATTTCAAACACACAAATTTCATACACACACACTTAATGGTTTATATATTATTCATATATATATATATATAATGTTTTGATTTAACAATTAGTATGATTAATGATAGTAGATAATTATTATTCTATGTATTATATATTTGATTATTTTTTTTTTTATATAATAGATAAATAGTTAAAGAATGCAAATAATTAGTAATAATAAAAAAAAAAATTTATTTTTATTTATATTAATTTTATAATTAATTTTATATTAATTTTAATTTAATTTTATATTAATTTAATTTATTTTAATTAATTATAATTATATATTATTTATATTCATTATATTATATAAAATATAATATTAAATATATTTATATATTAATATTTATATTTATAATTTATATTTATATATATATATATTTTATTTATATTGAATAAAATTTAAATTAAATATATTTTAAACTAGGTTTACAAAATATCGATAATTTTTCAACCTTTGAGCACAATAATTGCCAATAATAATTAATAATAATAATAATAATAATAATAGTAATAATAATAATAATAATAATAATAATAATAACATAATAATTTTTAAAGTATAGAAAAAAAAAATTTATATATTATAAAATAAAAATAAATTAAAATGAGACAAAACAAAAATAGTAAAATTAATGTTAATATTCTTTAATAAGAATTTAAAGAGTCATCTTGATTAGAATTAGATTTCTAATCGATGATTGTACGCATGAATGAATTTAAATGATGTTCAATCGACACTCGTTTTATCGTTTTTCGACTGTGACTAATGGAGAAATCGTTGAAACTTAGTTTCTAGTGAATATCTGAATGTAATTTTTAAATGTTTTTATATATAGATTTCGTTCAACGATATATTATACCGTAATATCATGATGATAGAAAGATCGATTATTTCTTTTGTTTATTTTATTTAAATTGTTGATTTTTTCTTAATAATATTGAACATATTACACGGATTTTACTCACTTCGTGTGCATCCACCATGAGATCTTTCAGTTCGTCGAGACATTGATTTATACGTGCACGTCTTTTTCGTTCCAATAGTGGTTTCGTTATCTGAACAAAAATTTAACATTCATATTGATAATATGTTTATTAACAATTTATATTTATATGTATATATATATATATATGCTCATAATTATGAAAGTGGTCTAAGTCATATATCTCTTGTTTCGAGATATTTAAAGATAATTTGAACGTTATATGAATTCTATACAATATTGAAATAACAAACATTATCTAACGATTCATTTTTCATAATATTGTAAAAATTACATTGAATTTATTTAGTTTATAATAATGTAGTGCGTAATAAGTGATGAAGTCATTTTTTTTTTTTTTTATTAATTTTGACTATTTGAAATGTTTTAATTACGATAGTAGACTAAGTCAAACAAAATTAAAATGATGAATTGTTTTTTAGATTTATGTTATAATATAAATAACTGTATTACAAATGAATAATAATTATAATAATAATAACAATTATAGTATAAGTTGAAAAATATATACACCTAACTATGTAGAAAAATAAAATTAAATTTAACTAAAAAAAAAAAAAAAAAAAACACAAAACACAAAAGTAAATATGATATTAATGTTAGGGTAATAAAAATGTTCCAATCCCCACCCCCCTAATATATTTTATAAAAACAATTTAAAAAAATAATAATATAATAATGAAACACACATATACCGAAATAAATAATTTTAATAATACGATGAAAAGAAAACAAAAATAATAATAATAACTGAAAATAATATTAAATAATAGTAATATAAATTAAATCACAATTTTATTTTAATATTTTTTGTTTTGGATCAAGTTTGTCTAGTTTATTAGAAGAAATAAAAAAAAAAAAATAAAATAAAATAAAATACGAAGGTAATATATAAAAATACAAAATTTCATTCGTTATATTTCTAGGAGGATCATTTTCTATAGTCAGATTTTTATTGAACACCTTGTACGACGACGACAAAACTATAGTTTCATTGGTTCATGACGCGTGTTTCATTCATCATTATTTTCTTAATCTTTTTCTCTGTCTGTCTGTCTGTCTCTCTCTCTCTCTTTCTCTCTCTCTCTCTCTCTCTCTCTTTCTCTCTTTCTTACATGCGCGAATAATCAAGTCACGATTCTCAACTACGTGTTTTATCGCATGACGCGATTTCGCGTTGTGGTACTTCTCCTCGTACGATTAATTTCTTCGTACACACGGTCATCATGCTTGATCACAATTTCTAAGAATTAAATAAATAATCATAAAATATATCCTTATAATATTATTCCTCTTCGTCAAACACTTGAGAGGGGGGGGGGACTATGACATATTCCAATTGATTTCGTTTTATTTTACAATACACACACACATATATATATATATAATATACACGTGTGTACATTGATGAAATATAAATCATTATTATTATTAATATTATTCGAGATATTATTTGAAAATTTTTTTTATATTCCAATTAATTTCAAACTATGCGTTGTATTTATACGTGTGTGTTGTAAAATAATACAAGAAAATAATTAAAAAAAAAAAAAAAATAATCAATCAACGAGAAGAAACAAAATAATAATAATAATAATAATAATAGTAATAAAATAAAATATATAAATTAGATATGTGTAATAATTTGTATTTTTTTATTTTTAACACAATACCAGAAAGTAAATTAAAAAATAGAAGAAGAAGAAGAAGAATAAATTAACGAGAAGGAATAAATTAATACTAATGTTATAAATAATAAAATAAAATATATCAATCAAATAATTAATAATTTGTATTTTTTATTTTTAAAACAATACAAGAAAGTAAATTAAAAAAATAGAAGAAGAAGAAGAAGAAGAAGAATAAATTAACGAGAAGGAATAACATAATAATAATAATAATAATAATAATAATAATAATAATAATAATAATAAAATATGTAAATAAGATACGTAATAATTTGTTTTAATATTTTTTCTTACCTTTTTGTATCGATAAGTTCTCGAAACTGGATGCGGACAATCGTACGACATCATTGCACGATTTCGCGTTATCCTTGAATATCGTCAACTGCATCCGATAAAATAATCGACACCGATGATAAACTTTTATAATCGAAACATTATTATATAAAATTAAAACCTTCCTTCATAAACAAAACAAAAAAAGTACACCGTTTTTGATTTATTTTGTTGGTTGGTTAAGGGAAGGGTGAATGAATGAGTGCGAGTGGGGTGGGGTGGTGTTAGGGTTTGACTTTAATTTCGTATACGCATGCGTGCAATTATAAAAACGAACGAACAAAAAAAAAAAAAGAGTAAAAAAAAAGAGATACAAGAACTCGCGAATGAATGGGGAAAAAAGGATACAAACAAAATTGTGTAAAAATAAGAATGAAAAAAAGAATGTGTATATATATATATATATGTGTGTGTGTGTGTGTGTAAAAGAGAGATAGAAAATGCTGGTGCACGGCTTCGAGTCCCTACGCGAACTGACTCGAATGCTTCTCAGCTCTTCTTGGCATTCCCCCCTTGTAATGCTTACCCTCACTCAACTTCGAACCCTACGGAACCGTCCCTGGTAAAAGGCACTTTCTCAAATAAAAAAAAAAAAGAAGAAAAATACTCTCGTTCTACCAAACTAACTCAATTTTCCATCATTTTTGTTCTTTTCCATCGAATTAACAATCTTTTTTTTTTTTTTTTTTTGGTAATTTCTTCCCTTTGGGGTTTTTTTTTTTGTATCTTTTATGTGTTTATCACCTGTTCGTTTCTTTATTACATGAAATTAAAAGTAATTGAAAAAAATTTATATATATATATATGTATGTATATTTTTGTTTTGTGTAATGTATGTATTATTTAATATATTATTATATAATATAAATTACAAATTTCTATTAAATAATTAATTATATTGTATAATTATAATAATATGTATTATTATTGTTTTAATTTTTAATTTGTATATTTTTAATTTCAATTTTTACTATTTTAATTTTCAATTCTTTTGTTAAATTAAATTAAATAAAGTAAATTTACATTTATTTTAAATATATTATAAATTATAATTAATATATATATATAAATTGTAAATTTTTATTAAATAATTAATTATTTCATATAATTATAATTATATGTATTATTTTAGTGTTTTAATTTTTAATTTCAATATAAATAATATATATTATTATAATTATATAATATAATTAAATACATATATTAAAATATAAAATATATATTATATATATATATATA